TAAGTCACATTTACCCCACTTTTGCCAATACTATTTCTCCTTCATAGATTTTTAAGATATTTCACCAGTACCTTTGTGAAATTTCCAACCCAAAGTGGGAATTCCAACTCTCCTCCACATGTACATGTTGTGATTAATGTAATCCAACTCTGAAAATTTTCTCAGTAGACACTGAGTTCACATTTTCAGGATCTTCAAGGTTCAGACCCACCCAGAACCAACTCAGACCAGAAAACCAGCATACCTCAACTTGGATTCACCGCCGTATCATCGCCGTGTTATCGTTTGGAGTCCTTTACTCTTTGGAATCTTCCCACTCTCAGTGTCAGGATCACCAAATAGTAAGTCATTCCATCAAGTCAAGCTTGCATCTTTCTGCTAAGTTTCTTCTCTGTCTCTCTGAAGGAACCCTTCATTCTGTTTCTACTAAATACCTGCCTCCATCATCATCACATCAATCCAAGTCTTCTTTAAGTCATCATTATTCTTTGTTTGGTGGTATAACTGAAAACCACATAGGTTTCCCTTTAAAGAACCTTGATCTTTGATCTAAAAAATAGTGGTTGGATTGACATATCAATACCAATAGCCCTTCTCAGTTTCATTTGATTAGGAGGCGTAGATTTATTCCGCTAAAATAACAGCCATCCTCTTAAGGAAAGTAAGACTGCATTAAGACTTGACTTTAAAACAAATAAACAACAAAAATATTATTCATTTCTTTTCTCTTTCTCTTTCTCTTTCCTTTCCTCTCCTTCTAGTTGTATTCCCCTATCCCTCAGAAATACATCTAGTTTTGCCCCCCCCATCCTTGTGTCCTGCCGTCACTTTTGAGACCCAGGCTCACAGGCGTGCAGGCGTGCACGCCAATCCGCACCTGGCGTGCGGTTTGGCGTGCGCCAGGGGAGCTGGCGTGCGTTTATCAACGCCCCTTTAGTTTTGATTTTGAAAGCACTGGTCTCTCATGTGACCAAGTGCTGATAGGGTTTGGGTCTCACTATAACCACAGAGTTGGTAAGTGGAAGTGAAACTCTCCTCAACACTTCAAAGTGAAGGGGTTTGCTCTTTATAATAATAAGGGAAAACAGTAGAATGAGATGGGGAGTGATAATCACACTGCACCCCCCTTTGCACACACACTCCAACACTCCCTTTCTGAAGGGAGTGTGGGACCACACTCCAATCAAAATTGGAGTGCGGGTCCGCACTCCAAGTATCTGCAGGGTCATATCCCCTGCAGCATGGAGTGCGCTCCCACACGCCAATATGCTTTGGCGTGTGGGCCCACACTCCCCTTCTGAGGGGAGTGTGGGAGTTCGCATAACCTAATTAATTACATCTATCCCATAGGACCCACGCCTGGGTCCTATGGGATAGCCCTTGGGCTTGAGGCCGTTGACAAATAAAAAACAAAAAAAAGTCTTTAGGGCTGGGAGGAACCCCTCCCAGCCCGCGAATGGTTATGGAGTCTTGATGCCAGGAGGGTTCCACCCGGCAAGCCGGTTTTTAAACCAGCTTGCCGGAAGGGATTCCTTCCGACAAGCTGGGCTGTGTACCACCTCGTCGGGAGGGGTTCCGCCCGGCGAGCCAGCTTTTAAACCAGCTCGTCGGGAGGAATCCCTTCCGACGAGCTGGTCTGTGTACCACCTCGTCGGGAGGGGTTCCTCCCAGCGAGCTGGGCTTTAAACCAGCTCATCGGAAGGAATCCCTTCCGACGAGCTGGTCTCTGTGCCACCTCGTTGGAGGGGTTCCTCCCAGCGAGCTGGGTTTTAAACCAGCTCGTCAGAAGGAATCCCTTCCGACGAGCT